TCTACTCAACTCTATTAGAGTCACGGTTAGACCTCATTTTGATGAAAAACAATCAATTAAAGAATTTTTTACATTATAATATATGGGTTTTTATTATTGAAACTTTTCACACGATTATGATCCAAACATCAATATATGACTCATGAAAATGAGTATTATAATTGAAACCCGTCTAAAAAATTAATTTTCATATATTTGGCAAAAACTACAAAAGTTTAGGTTATAGATTTGAGCAGAGTGTGCAGATCTAAAAATCAGGTAGCTCATAGTTTAGCTAAGCATGCTAATTATATGGAAGATTACATTATATGGCAGGAGTGCACGCATAATTTTGTAATATCACTCCTTATCTCAGGTATTTGAATAAAGATTTATAGTTTCTAATAAAAATAAAAATTAAAAAATTCAGGAGCATATATGGTTTATTACTAAAAATAATAGATTTAAATTTGAGCCACTCATTTACGGTCCAAAACATCCGATGGGCTCTCTTTAGAGGACAATCGTAATGGGCCACCTGTAGAATGCTCAAATTATCATGGGATTGGACCACAGCCCATGGATAAGAAAGCCCAAGACCATAAGCTCGGGAGGTCTTAGCCCGACTGTTTTGAGCATGGTGGCAAGTGCCTATTTGAGAATAAAAAGCTTGATACAAGATGAGCCCCAAGCAGCTTGGGTCGTGCCACATGTCTAAGGGACAAGGGAACAACCTTTGAGAATTCTAACAAACAAATATTTTCTAATAAAGGAAATATTTGGATACATTCTATTTTTGAAGATCGTGAGCACGGAATATGTCAAGATGTAAAATCCCGCAATAAGACAAATGAAGAAGAAACCAAAGAATCAACCAAGAAAATGAAGAATAGTACAAACCTTAGATGACACATATATAAATAGAAAACAAAGTCATTGTAAAAGAGAGAGTTTTCACAGCTTACTTGAGATATACTATGTAAAAAAAACTCCCAGTCAAGAGACTCACTGTAATCACTACCCCCTTTTTCAAGCAATACAATCCTTTCCCCCTCTCTCCCCGGAGCAAGAGTCTCTATTACAGTTGATGTAGTCTTAGTCTTTTGACTGAAGTAAACAATTTATATCTTATTCTTTGATCCAACATCAACACTTACTCTCCAGTTAACCCAAGCATTCATAATGCCCTACTAGACCTCACATTGTAATTGTATAACTGAGTATAACAATTTCGAGTACCATCAATTTTAACTCATTTTTTTTACTCACAAGGGTAAACATGGACATTTCATAATAGTTTTCAACAAAAATAAAAAATAGTTGCATTCTAGTCAGCTTAGGATACTCTCTAATACCACCTTCCAGAATTAATCATCCATAACATATTATTAAGTGATCCACATAGATATAATGAGTACTACTTAAATTTATTTATTGCTTTGATGGATCATTTATTATCAATAAGGGAAGAACCCTCTTCTTAAATGCATGATATGTGGTCTAATAAAAAAATAGAAAAAATATATATTAAAAAAAATATCACTCCTCTTTTTTTTTTCGTCAAAAGTGTCAGAGATAATTTACGTACATTTCAATTAATCTCTTTCTCAATCTGATCAAAGATAAATCATCTATATCGAAATTAAAATATTAATAAAAAATAAATTTGCAGTGAGGTGACCTAAGTAGTTGCCAAGTCTCACTCATCTTCTTACGACAACGTGAAAGCCATTTCGGCTAGGGTCACTGTGTACATTAGTTTCCACAGCCGAAATGGGGTCTAGAGAGAAAGACATTTCTTATTTTACTTCCTCTTATGCCCTCCACTATTTTCCTTTTGATTGAAACAGGACAGCATTCTTTTTGTCGCGAGTAATGTTGTGATTCATGTGTACGAATTACGATGAATAATAGAAAAAAAATACAAGAATTTAAGTAATTTGGTAATCTACCTGTGTCTACGATCCTAGAACAGATGTCTTATTTTTAATGCACATTAAATTAGGATTACAATTTAACTATGTTACAATCCTAATTAGACTATTCCATACACTAAATATGAGCCATTCATTCCAACAAATTATTTATTTATTTTATATTAATTAATATGAATGCAATATAAACTCAATATAAATTTAAAAACAATATATTCTAAATTCGAGGTGACTTTATTCGTAAGTGAAGGATGGGATAGCATGCATGACGCGTGCATGACGCGTGCATGACGCATCAATAACTTACTATATTCTAAATTCGAGGTGACTAGCATGCATGACGCGTTGACGTCAAAGTGACCACAAAATCTTTGGCCAACTAGCCAACTTGAATGGCCAAAAGATTGAAGTTGACATACCCAGGTAAAAAAAGGTTTGAAGTTGAAAATTCAAGGAGAAAGAAAAGGTACTTCCAGCTGCAATCGGGACAATTATAAAATCAGTGCCTTGTATTTGAATTTTAATAATTTTTTAGAGTTAATTCAGAAGAAATTTATTTTTCATAAATATTCTAGTTTTGATATAGATTACTTATTTTTGACTAAATCTAAAAAAAAATTAGTTAAAATATACATAAATTATCTCAAATACCTTGAATCATTAAAAAAAATAAAAGAATATAGTAAGTTATTGATGTACAACCCAAGTTTGACGTAGATAGCTCGAAATTGAATTGGTTTTAAATACTTCTGTTTGAATTTAATTTCATTGTTTGACGGATCTTATTATTTTCATAGTTTGTACCTAAACTAAAAAAAAATTCAATTCAACCCAAGTAACTTAATTAGACATTGACTTTAACTAGTTACTATCATAATTTCAACACAATGTCGTCGAATAATAATTTTATTTCATCTCATATAATGTTACTAGTTATTGTATGTACCTGAAGGTACAGAGTAATAAAAAATGATAAATAATATATATATTTATATTCATATCTAAAATTAAATTACAAACATAAAGAAGAGATAAAAGAATTTAAAAAAAAATTGTAGTTAGGGATGAAAGATAGTGGGCGATAGTGGTAGTAGTAGAAAACAATAATATTTGTGGTGGCAGCAGCGACGATGACGATGGTGATGGTGGTGGCGACGAAAGTGGTGGTAGTGGCGATAGTGGAGGTGACGGTGGGGGTGATGGTGGCAATGGTGGTGGTGGTGGTGAGGGCGGCAACGACGACGACAGTGATGGTGGTGGTGGCGACGGTGGCAGTGGTGGAGATGGAGGTGGAGGTGGCGGTGATGGGGGGGGCGATGGTGGAAATGGTGGCGGTGGTGGTGCTGCTGGCGGCGACGGAGACGACAGTGACAGTGGAGGTAGTGGGTGCTGGCGGCGGTGGCGGTGGCGGTGGTGGTGAAAGTAGTGGTGGAACGGTTTAAAACAATATATTATTTTTTAAAGTACTCATAAGAAATAATTCTTAAAAACACTTTTAAAAAATTTCTCCAAACACACCCCAAGCGTGCACATTGTTTGCGTTTTTTGGTGTTTTCAAAAATACATTTTTCTTGTTTGCATTTTTTGACTTTGTTTTCAAAATAACTTTAATTAAAAAAAATATGAAAATACATTCTAAATGCGTTGTTATTATTTTATATTTTTTTTTGTAAAAAGTGAAAAAAAAAAAACACAAACCAACGGTTAACAAACACAACCTAAATTATCAAAATAAATTCTCCTTAAATTTCAAAAATAATTACTGTAAAAATATTATAGCCACTCACCTCCCAATACAGGAGCACACACTCTTCATACTTACTCATTTTGACTGGTCCGAGTTTATGAGAATATTCCCTCAAACTCTTCAGCATAGAATTTCAAATCTATGTAATTACCAAAATGGTCTTAACAAATTACATCATTACTTACGATTTTCCTAAACTAAATGAGGTTCATGTATATTTCACGTTATGCACTATAATGAAATACTTCCCAATCATTAAAAGCTTAATAAGTTACGTTTATGATCAATTACTTAACATAATTCTTCTTCTGTAAATGAACTTTATATCAATTTTATAAAAGTGGGGTTATTTTCACTCTACAAATCTCTATTCTTACTCCTTTTAATTTCTCATTATCAAACCACTAAACTCACCTTTTTTATACTGACCACATTAGTAATTAAACTCACCTCATGCTACATACACGTCCTTTAATAAGTAAACTCATTTTATATTTTGTCATAATTAGAGTTTCATTTTCTATCTCATCTCATGTACTTATAAAAATATTTTTTCAATGAGATACAAGTTAATATTACTTCTAAATTTAATTTTATATTTATTTTCATGTTTGTTATATGGATTTTCATTATTTTTAGTATGTTTTAATATCTCTGCTAAGTTTAATAATTTTTATTTATATATATATATATATATATATATATATATTATATATATATATATTTCATATTATTTGTTCTTTTTTATCATATTATATAGGGTACATCTTGATTAGGTCAATGTGATTCTAAACTGAACAAAATTCCTAGATATTTAATATTTAGGCAGAGTTTCAAGTACTCAGGTTGTACTTAAACCAAAAAAAAAAACTCAATCCAATTTCAACAAGAAATAGTAATCAACCGTGTCGGGTTCTAAGTATCCTGGAGATCAATATCCTGAAAAATCCAATTGAACACAAATTATGTTAGAAAATTTAAACATCGACAGTACTCGTGTTCGATTTTGCTTTGCCACTTGTAAGCCATGACATGGAAATCGTGTGGTTGTTACCACAATTCTCATCCTCATCTGTGAGAGCCTCAAGTTATCGGGTCTCGTAGTTAGCGTGCTACAACACTCAATCAACTACAAAGTCTGTTGGGTCTTGGTGAGAGAGAGAGACGTCCCAAACCCGATGTCACATTGAGAGAAACAGCAACCCCAACCCCACCTCATGATCTGTCACATTGATTCTATTGGCTACATTCCAGTCATATGATTGACTGTCACATGCGGAAGTTCCTTCTTAAACCCCCCCCCCCCCCTCTCTCTCTCTCTCCACCTTTTCACCATAATTTTCTCGCATCTTTTCTTTTGCTTTGTCCAAATAAGGAGCGACAAAGAAACGCTAGAGAAGATATGCAGCCTGGGAACAGCACATCCAGACCTAGACGAAATGAAATAGAAAGAGGTCGAAGAATACAAATGAAAAACCACTTTTCAAGGCTTGCCTCTCTCCTACCTACCCAAGTAATTAACCCAATCCTCCAACTCCAGTGCTATCTCTCTCTCTCTGTTTTAGTTTTGAAAAGTTAAAGAAGGATGGAATATTTTTTTATTTCCATGATCAATGATTATAAATGAATCAACCGAATATCTATGTCCCCGCAACCCTTTTTTGATATTGCTATCGAAAAGTTATTTTTGTTGAACGTATAACCTTGTCCTTATATATATGTATCTCTGTATATATTTCAGGAGAGGTTGGCGTTACCTGCTTTATTGGATCAATCCATATCTAATATAAATCAACTGAAAGAAAAAATTGAAGAACTGAAGAAAAGGAGGGAACAACTCCAAGGTGATGGAGATGCCATTGAAGACCAGAGGGATGGCTTGATTTCACCATTACTTGCTATTAGAGAAGTGGGTTCAGCTTTGGAGATAAATTTGATAACTGGGGTGAATCAGAGGTGCATGTTGAATGAAATTTTCAGAGTTCTTCAGGAGGAAGGTGCTGAAGTTGTCAGTGCCAGCTGCTCAACTGTGGGTTCAAGGAGATTCTATTCTGTTTATTCACAGGTTAATCTTCTTTTTCAGTGTCTCTCATGACTGTTATTTTCGTCATAGTCATGTCTGCATGAATTGAATGGAATGTAGTATGCAAATGAGTAAGTTAAAAAGGCACCATGTAAACTCGTTAAACTTATAAGATATCAAACTTGATTAAATGTTTAATTCTTTTTTTTTTTTTTTGTAAACGAGCCAAATCCTAGTAACATACATACAACCTAACTCAAGTAAACAGTTTGCTTGGCTCCAATGCGTTCATGTTATTTTTTTTAGCTGATTACGTCAAATGAGGAATCCAAACGATGGCCAGTTCCACATTGAAATTCAGACATAGCTAGCTAATCAGTAATGCTCTGCTTTCATATGATACACAGAATCAAAGAGGCAGATGACAAATATTAATATCACTTGGATTAATATTTTTTTTGCAGGCTTTGTGTTCAAGAATTGGCGTAGAGACTTCAAGAATAAGTGAAAGATTGCAGATGTGGGTGCATCCTGTTGCTTAGCAATTACTTGATTGAAACTGAGATGGGCAAAAGCCGATCAAAAATGGTAGGATGACTCCATCAATTTGACCGGCTGGTTGGGAAAACACAACAAATAAATACTCAGTTCTGTGAATGCAGACTATGCAGTGTATATTTTCCTATTTTTTCCTTTTTAGTGTGTATGCGTTTAATTTGGTGTTTTTCTACTGTATTTTTATCCGTTGTGGATAAAGCTAGAAGACATGCAGTAGAAACAATAAGTTTGCTCTATTACGATTTAAGTGACTCGAGTTGCACTCGCAAAATTAGTTTCTTGCATATGCGGGAATGGGGAATGCAATTCGGATTTTATTCTTAAGGAGGACAAACAATGATGCAATCAACAAATATCTATATAATAAATTAAATAAGAATTTGAACTTATGGAAAATATATTTTTCCGCTCAAATTTTGCACACCCAACACACTTTGTCTCCCAAATTTTAAAAACTCAACACACACAATTCACAGCACACAACTACACATAAATACACACACTCCAGCACATACATACACACACTCTAACACATATATTTTAATGTATGCACAGTATCATAATTGTGATGACTCGTATATAAATTAATTATTAACACGTTAATTATGTCGTTAATTATGATTTTATATAAGTGAGGATTATTTTTTAAAAAATTAAATAAATAAATAGATTTCAATTATAATTTTTTTATGTGAAAACGAGTGAAATAAGTATAATATAAGTCATATTTTGGATAAAAATAAAGATGTTATAGTATCCGAATATAAATTAGATAGATAATATTTAGGATATATGAGGGACACTTGTCTTTAAAAACAAAAAAGGAGGGACCACAAGAATGTCAAAAAGGATGGACCACAAGAATAGACATGTGAGAAAAAAATATATGGACAAAATATGAACAACTGTGCAAACTCTCTCATGTCACTATGTGATGTTGGGGTGGGTTTTTGGCTGCAGGCCATTCCAACAAGGCAGCAAGAGAGAGAAAAAAAGAGAGAGAGAGAGGAAGAGAAAGAGAAAGACGAGAGAGAGAAATTTATGAAATTTTGGGGTCAAAAATTAAATAATAAATTTTACTTTCAATCATTATCAAATTGAAGTGTCTTATTTGTAGTACTTTGAATTTTTTATCTATTAAAGTTATTAATGATTTTGAGATACGGGATAGTATACCATATGTTTATTTCTTTTAAATCTCTTTGTAAAAAGTGTCATTTGACTATTTAAAATTTGTATTCTTGTTGATTATTTTGATTGATACAAAATTCTAATATTTTTATTGGTTGACTTATATTTTGGGATTTGATTGATACATGTACGAAAGGTACTTGGGGTATAATTGATAAAATGTGATTATAGCCCCTGCGGGGGGTGCAATTGTGATTACATTCTTGCAGGGTGTTATTAGTTGTTATGTGTATGGATTTATATGCTTAGGTATCACTTGTCGTGTCACCAAGAGGAACCAAATATGAGGTTAAGTTTGATAGCAATTGAGTTATGTGGTCTGTCGAATGTGATTCCTGATTTCGTTATTCATGATTCTTATTATCTGAATTATTTGGTATTAGGTCATTCATATTTTTTCTAGTTGAGCATATTATTTCCTGTCATATTGTATACTTCTCCACCTTTAATATTTTTTTCAGGATGATTTATGAGGAAATGACCAGAGTTGATATTTGAGGGATCCAAGATAGACTAATGTTGATATAATTTTTAAATTTTATTGGTATTTAGAGATTAAAATTGTTATTATAAATTTATTGAGGCAATTAAAGCTCTGTCACTGTATTTGGAGATATTTGTGATTTATTATGATTGATTGATTTAATCAAGTAACGCGTCCTAGAAGCAGGACGTTACAATAATTTTAATCACGAGATATCGCTAATTATTTAATAGGATACGTCCCAAGTTATCGTTAATAGCAAATGTTTTCTAGTACAAAAAATATTAAAATCGCACAAATATAATCCTATAAAATAATGATTTAATTTGCTGACATGTGATAAATGAAAGAATCCAAATGAAGAAAAATTAATAGTTACCGTCATAATAATTCTATTAGATCACATCATAGCTAAATCTTTAGGTCAGTAGATCTGGTCAGATTTTTAAGTTTTAATATAATTACTCTAAAAAAATAATATTTATCTATGGCGCAATATTATTTGGACTTAAATTCAATATAATTACTGGATTGATTGTAGGCCCTATCAAATATTGAAATTTGGTGTTCATTTAACGGTTACAATGAAAATATATCATTAAATCAGCAGATTATGTTAGATTTTTAAGTCTAAATAGTATTATTCTTATTTATGTGGTTACATTCCCTATTCAATTATTAAATTTCAACCTATTGATTTTTGTTACAATACATCTATAATAATAAAATAGAGCCTTCTGCTTAAGCTTAAGCTCTTCACTTAAAAAAATATAATAACGGTTTAAATCGTTTAAATTCGACGGTTGACATTATGATTTAATATTTTAACATTTTAACTACAATAAACTCCTTTAAATTTAACTAATTAACCATAGTAATTTAAATTTTAACCGTTTAATCTTTTATCACAGTAATTCATTTAAATTTTTTGACAAAAATAATTTATTTAAATTTTACTTTTAACCAGAATAACTCAACACTTACTTCAAAAAAAAATATATGTTCTGCACCGGACACAAGTAAAAATAAAAGGGGAAGAATATGACTTTTCAAAACATGGGGGAGGCCTCACTCAGCATAGAGATCAGGTAAAAGGATGATAAAAAAACGTGGGCCAGGCCATTTGCTCCCCAATTTGAAAGACTCTATTATAGAAAGGGAAATTTAGAGGTCGATAAAAAAAATGTAGACTTAATCAAGTTAAATTGTATTAAGAAAATTTATTTGATCCCAAATGCATTTTTTTCAAAAAAGACTATTCATTACTCCATTATTCTAAGGGATGACAGTGGACCAAAGCTAGGGCGGGGGGTATAGTCTCCATCCCTGTACCCGCTTAAAAATTTTTATTCATCCTCAGTCCACCCCCGTTAACAGATATAATTTTCATTCTCATTCTTACCCGTGGATAAATTTGTAATCTCCACACCTGCCCCATCCCTCGCCTTGAAGGCAAAAAAAGTTGCCGCTAAAAGTAAATTATTCGCCACTAAAAATTTTCTACGACAAAAAAACTGGATCTCCAATTTGTCGCGGCAGACTCGCCAGTAAAAGTTTTTAACAACCAACTAAAGTATCGTTGTTAAAGTAGATTATCAGTGACAAAAAACTTAGTCGCTTAAAAATTTATCTACTTGTCACAAAAAAACCTTCGTCACCGAAAGAAATTATATTATGGTCATATTTTTTCTCTTTGGCAATGGCATAATATTTGTCGCTGAAAATCAAGATACATTTTTTGCAACTAACATATTTTGGACGCCAAATAATAAATGAATACTCTCACCTAAATAAATCTAATATTCTAAATAATGCAACATAATTATAGAATATCAAAACATAGTTAATAGTTTGTCATTTATAATATAATATAATTAAAACCTTGACTACAACATAATCTAACATAATATAATTAGAAGTTTGTCTCCCTTATAAATCTAATACAATATCATGCAACACAATATAATGTAACATAACAAAATTCAACATGAAAAAATATAAAAACACAAAGATCTACACTTTTACAAGTCAAAACCATGAACAAAGTTAAATAAAAAAATAATTTTCAAAAAAAAAAATCATTCAATAATATGTAGATTTATAATAATAATAATAATAATAAGGGGTAAAGCGAAGCGGTACGAGGGTAAGTGTCAGTTCATCCCCGCCTTCATCCCCACAAGGGTTTATACAGGTATCCCCGTATACGTCCAACGTCTAATACATATGGTCAATTCCCAATCCAAATGGAAAGGATTTAGATGAATATCCATTTTTACCCGATTCACTGTCATCCCTAATTACTCTCTGTCTCTCTCCACTCTCTCTCCATTACTCTCTCATTATGTCTTTCTTATTTTCTCTCTATCTATCTCTCAAATTGATAAAAAAAAAATTCAAATAAATAAATATTTGAATTAATTTTTTCATCTCTCCTCCTATTTTTTTCTCTCTCACTCTCTCAATCCTTATTTTTTCTCACTGTTACTCTTTATCTCCTTATTCTCTCTCCTTATATCATCGTTAGAACAACACAATTACATAAATCAGTTATACCAATTAGTTACAATTACCCTATAATACATCATACAGTTGCTCATTTATTCTTATAAACTAAACAGTTACACTAAATAATTACACGAAGTTACAATACTAACTCAATTTCATTCAGTTGTTTACATAAACAAAAGAGTTGCACTATTTAATATCACGACATAGTTAAACAAATTATATACACTAAATTGGGTTTATCATTACACAAAAGTGTAAAATTCGGGTAAATTTAAATTTTTATGAAAACAGGTAAAATAATAATTAGCCAATACGGTATGGGTTAAAAACCGACAAAAGAGAAACGTCGATAAACGGCGACAACCTTTAGAGTTTGGGTTCGGAGATTATGTCTTCTTAAAGGTGATGCCTAAGAGAAGAGTGGTCAGGTTCAAGAAGTGGGGAAAGTTGTTGCCGAGGAATATCGGGCCCTTCGAAGTACTCGAGAGGGTTGGTACAATTGCATACTGGTTAGCTTTATTGCCAAAATTATCAGGTGTTCACATGATATTCCATGTCTCCATGCTCCAGAACTACATTCCAGATCCGACTCATGTGGTGGATTGGGGTGAGTTGATTGTTGAAGCGGATGGGACATTCAAGGAGGGACTAGTGCGAATCATGGATAGTTGAGAGCAAGCTTTATGAGATAAGACTGTGAGGCTGGTGAAGGTGTTGTGGTAGCACCGAAGTGTGGAAGAAGCGACATGAGAGCGTGAGGACACTATACGTACCAGTTATCCATTCTTATTCAAAGATAAATGCACATTCTTGTAGTTATTCAGTGTTATATGACTGTTGCATATGCATGTGGTTGAATACCAATAGACATTTGGTTCAATGATACTCTTTGTCTTATAAAAGTTTTGTCATCTTGAGGTCAATGGATCAAATCTCCTTCCCTTTCCCCTTTCCCCTAAAAAAAAAATGCATGTGCTTGAATGTGCATAGGTGTATAAGTTTAAGGGACAAAATTTTTTTAAGGGGGAAGAATGTAAAATCCAGGTAAATTTGAATTTTTATGAAAAAAAAGCAAAATGGTAAATTAATCACTATGGTACGGGTTGAAAACTTGAATTTTTCTAAAA